CTGGTAGTCCCCCTCTATTGTCTAAAACCAAAACAGTTGTCACTGGGAATTGAACTCATGACCTTTGGAAGAGCAGTCAGGACTCTTAACCTCTGAGCCATCTCTCCAGCCCACATTCAAATGAAAAAAACCTCTAGGTAGCATTGTTTATTCCACCCGTTGCTTCAGGCAAAAGGTCCGCCTTTGTTACCTAGGATACGGGTAACCAGGTTGACACGCCTTTATTATGATAATTATGACCAGTTCTTTAAGGGAAAATGGGCGTCGACAATCGATCTGACTACTTCCTGCTGACGACGGGACGATGCCCATTTTTTGGGGAGATAAATGTTTTTATCTGACTGAATTTTTGGCGGCTGTGGCTGTGAGCGGCGGCAGCAGCAGCTCCGCCTCTGAGGCACGGCCCAAACAAAGGCATGGCCCCGCCCCGGGCCGTGCGCGGGCTCGCCGTTTATCCTGTACCTGCGAACTGTGCACCCTGCCTCACCTCAGGCATTGAACTCGCACCGCTGGCCGCGAGTCTTTTCCAAGCTCCGGCGAGGGGGGGCATCCGCCCACCCGTGGGGGGGCCTCTCCTGCCCGGTCTGCCCGCGCGCAGAGGGCCCAGTTAGGGCCGCGGGGGGCCCCAGTCTCAGACCTTCCCAGGGGCCGGGGAGTGACGAGCACTCAGCACGTGGCCCCACCGATGAGCTTCCTCCGCCCGCCCATGTTGCTATGGAAACGCGGTTCAGAGTTTGTGCTCAGAGCTCAAGTGCTGGGATTAAAGGCGTGCGCCACCACGCCGGCTACTTCCTCAATCAAAATTAAAGTTTTCTGTACGTGAGAGCCAGAGACTGAGCTCTCTTATCAAAATTAGGCGAAAATCACCTCCAAAAGCTCTGTGGCTCTTTAAGAATAGGAAAGGCAGTCTTCAAACACGATCAAGCCCGCCTCCCTACGAGACTGTTGCCCGGAGTCTCTAACAGCGAGTACGGACGGAGGAAGCCGCGGATCTCCCAACCGTAAACCTCGCTTTTTCTCAGCTCCACCTGCACTGAACTTGAGGGTTTTGTTCTGCCCCGTTGCTTTCTGCACCTTCTTTCAGATACCTTAACTTTGATTCTTTCTATTTTCTTTTCTTTTTAGGCCTATACTTTTTCCATTCTTTTTCCTCCCCTTTCTGGAGGATTTAACTGACGTCACTCACCGCTCCACGTTTCCAGAGTTCTGAAATTCACGGCTCTCTGTCCGGTGTCTGATCTCGGCTTTTTCTTCCTGGGCTTTCAGCACCTGTTGCTGGGTGCTTCCTTCTCAGGGTCCCCCGGCGTAGTTGTCAGGTTCCCTTGGCGTCCCGAGGTTTCGAGCACCAGTTGCGACGCGCATCCTGACCAGCAGGAATGAACGCCACTAAAAACGAGAATTCCTTCCCTGGTCACGTCTTTATTCGGAGCATTCGGTTGAGGAAAATTGGGGGAAGGGAAGATAGAGCAGGGACAAGAGAAAGCTTAGAGAGAGCGGAAGTAGAGCCCAGAGGCAGCTGCTTTTAAACGGTGGAGAGGCTTGAACGCTGTCCTGATTGGTTAATGCCATTCTGCTGGTCTGAGCATGTGCAAGCAAGGGTGCAGGCAAGGGAGCTCAGCCCCACATGGCTAAGCCAGGTATGGACTTGTATACCTCCAAACTGCAGGACCACCTGTGCCTCCAGGTGGCTTCCTACATTCTACTATGTTCATAGCAGCACTATTTGTAATAGCCAGAAACTGGAAACAGCCTAGGTGCCCCTCAATAGAAGAATGGCTAAAAAAGGTGTGGAACATATACACATTAGAGTTTTACTCAGCGGTAAAAAACAATGACATCTTGAATTTTGCATGCAAATGGATGGAAATAGAAAACGCTTTACTGAGTGAGGTAAGCCAGACCCACAAAGAGGAACATGGTATGTATTCACTCATAAGTGGATTCTAACCATAATTAAAGGTCTTTGAGCCTATTATTCGTGATCCTAGAGAAGCTAAATAAGAAGATGAACCTGATGAAGATTATTTAGCTATCCGCCAGGAGGTAGGAAATAGACAAGAGTCCCAGGTAACCTCGGGTGCATGGGGGGGAGTGGGAGGGTTGTCAGAAAGGGAGAGGGTTAGAGAGAAGGGAGTAGGGGAGGATTGGGGAAAGATCGAGGGACTGGGATGGGGGGAGAGAGGAAGGATGGATATGGGATCAGGCAAGTATATACCTCAACTAAGGGAATCATTTTAGGGTTTACAAGAGACTTGATTATAAAGGGGATCCCCGGTCCAAGGAGAGATCCCCAGATGCTTCTCTGGACAGAGGAGAGGGTGCCTGAACTGGCCTTGGCCCACAACCATACTGATGAATATTTTGCATGTCACCATAGAACCCTCATCTGGCGATGGATGGATATGGAGGCGGAGAACCACGTTGGAACACTGGACCTAGCTCCCTAGGTCCAAATAAGAGGCAGAAGGAAAGAGATCGTGAGCAAAGAAGGCAAGGGCAGAGGAAACCTTCATCCGACGTTGGATGGCGATACAGATGGAGACCCATATTGGAACACCGAACTGAGCACTCCACGGTCCAAATGAGGAACAGAAAGATGAAGAAAATAAAAAAAGTAATCAGGACTGCGAGGGATGCGAGCACCCACTGATACAAGGGGACTGATATAATGAGAGTTCACCAAGGCCTGTTGGACTGGGACTGAACGAGGACGTGATCCAACCAGATTCTCTGAATGTGGCTGGCCCGGAGCCTTTTTGAAAAGCCATTGACAATGACACTGGGACTTGCTTCCTCTGCATATACTGGATTTTGGCGCTCCAGTCTGTTTGGACTCTCACCTTCCCTGGACCTGGAGGGAGGGGGGAGGAACTTGAACTTCCCACAGGGCAGGAAACCCTGACTGCTCTAGGGGATGGAGAGGGAGTGGGGGGAGTGGGAGGGTGTTGGGAGGAGGGGCTGAAATGGAAACTTTTATAATTTAATAAAAAAAAATAAATAAAAGAAAAAAATAAATAATAAATAAATTTAAAAAAAGAATATTGGAAAAAGGTAAATTATAAGTCAGGATACCTAACTTACCCATTACTCCATGCCAGAAACCTAGGAAAAGGCAAGTCTAAGAGAAGAATTTCTATTTGACATATGTAGGGATGATATCAAGGGTTTCAGGAAGTCCAATATTATCAGTCACTCCTTTCTTTCTCTTTCTCAGAAACAGCAGAGTTTTCCACCTCATAGTTACTATGATTTGAACAGTGAGAAATATCAGGGAAAATAGTTGTTGATTGTACTCAAGTACCACAATCTATTTGATTCTTGTGTTTACTAAAAGAAGGACTATCTAATAGTGAATAAGATTGAAACTAGGCAACCATGCATGCTATTTACTAGTAATTAGAATCATAAAACACCTTGACAGTAGATCTCAGTAAACATTGAAGGAGGACACTAAGAAGAAATCCCACACTAGCTCAGAACTGAGTAAAATAATGGGTATTTATGTAGCGGTAGACTGACAGTGCACAGTCCTCTGCACAAATAGGGAAATCTAGCAGCCTGAAGAGAGAAGAAGAATGCACGCTTTACATGGCATTTATAGTATAAGAGGCCATCCTCAAGTGGGCTGGTAGCTGAAAGGCTGCTGGTTGAAGGATCTTCTATAGCAAAACTTGATGAAATCTTTCAAGGAACTTAAGGATACCATCGGTTTAGACTCAGAGAGAGATAAACTCCCATTTCTAGCTATATTCTAACTTTTACTTTCCTGGAAGCCTTTATCATTGGGAGCAAAGAACCTGCTGACAGAATCCAAGAAGAATGGTTCTCCATACACTAGTTCTATTTTTCATTCAATTATCCCTGACCAGAGAGGAGCCATCCATGTAAGGCAGCATGGTGGTCCTATGATGCTTTTCATCCACTGTTAATTGAAGAGGGATTTAAGCTAGAGGCAGTTGTTGAATAAAGGGCAAACTATATATTAAGTACTTTTTTTCAGGTCTACCCATGCAGATAGGCAAGTGAGTAGCCAGGAAAATATCTGTGAATGATGTGAGAAGTCTTTCTCTCTTGATTAATTAAGAAAGAAACTGCCTTGGACTGTTGATAGGGCAGAACTTAGGTAGGTGGGAAGACAGAACTGAATGCTTAGAGGAAGAAAGGTGGAATCAGAGTGAGATGTCATGAATAAGACATGCTGCCAAGACTTAACCAGTAAGCCACTGCCACATGGCGATACACAGATTAATAGAAATGGGTTAAAAAGATGTAAGAGTTAGCCAATAGGAAGTCAGAGCTAAAGGGCAAAGCAGTAATTTAATTAATACAGTTTTGTGTGGTTATTTCTGGGCTAAGCTGCAGCCTCACCCTGCAACATATGACTGGAGAGAGAAGAAATGGACAGAAGTCCAAAAATCGCTACCTGTATTTTTGTGAGGCCACTTTTATGATCTTGTTTCTGATCATATGTCCCACTTGGGGCCAAGAAAAGGAACCAAAGTGAGTCCATTCATTAAAGACTTTTGAATTTTGACCCTAGAAATGACTGCAAATATGGACCTGGGTTTTTTTTTATAAGCAAGAAATACATGGCAGTCTATTTTTTTCTAAACAATACTCTCACCTGTCATCTAAGGAAGCTCACCACAAACGATCATGTTGCACTGACCAGAAAATACCATAAATATCCGTTTCCTAGCAAACACTAAACAATGGCAAGTGTTTAATGAATTGCATGAAATTTATCAAATTTGTTATTAGTACTACATCTCTACCTCTCTTCACAAGTTCATTCTTTATCATCAAAAATATTTCATTCTCCATCTCCCATCATAATAAGCATCAAAGAATTTCTTCTTTCTTAATTGATCATGCTTCTTGACTTAAGCCAATGTTTTATTTTTTTCTCTTAGGGAACATTCTAAAGGAATATTTTCACCTTCTTGAGCAACAGAAACTTTAGTAGTCCTGAGACACAATAAACAGGACCTTCCCATTAAATGTAGAATGCAAAAAGAAGCAAGCATAAACACAGGAATTGTTTAAGATGTCTTCGTTTTCAAGAAAAAGTGGTATTACAAGTTTAACAGTGTTTTTAATTGTGCTATCATATGGCTGCCTCCAGTCAAATGTATGCTATTTTAAGAAAAGAAAATTAATAAGAGAAAAGAATAGTTTAAAAAAGCTTCATGAGTTGAGCTGCTGAGGGATGTCATACAATCGGGAACAGCTGTACCAACTCCACAATCTGCAAAATAGTGAAAAATAAAAAATCACAATTTAAAAGGTGAGTGTGACACTTCAAAATAGTTCTTTTTATCTCAAGTTAATAAAATAAAAATATAAACATTGACATATTTGCATGCATGTGTGCCTTCTCATAATGAAGAAAAGTAGTTAATTTGTAAAATAGGAAAATGGACTTTACATTTTACTTTATAAATTTTTACATTTAATTTATATTTTCTGTAAAGTTATAGTTGGATCAGAAGAGGGAGTGAATCTTAAGAAATTGGTTTTCTCTTTGGAGTGTTTGTATTACTTACCTTCCTGAAATCAATAAGGTGGTTTGGGGTGAAAATCTTTCCTCTCAAGTTGAGCACACACCTTTGAACATTTAAAGCAGCCTTTGCACCATGAGCGATTCACAGCTTTACATAATGAGCAGACCCAATTCGCTGAAGTATGATATGAGAGGGGTTTCTCCTGTTGTTTGGTTTCAAAGGATTTTGCCCCTTGAGTTTGCTTGAATTCAAAGGCCTTTACCCCTTGAGGTTGCTTTAATTCGAAGGCCATTACTCCTTGGGGTTGCATGGATTCGAAGGCCATTACTCCTTGGGATTGCATGGAATCAAAGGCCATTACTCTTTGAGGTTGCATGGATTCGAAGGCCCCTACCCTTTGAGGTTGAATGGATTCAAAGACGCCTACCCCTTGAGGATGCATGTATTCGAAGGGTTTTATCGCTTGAGGTTGCTTGATATTTTGCTTTGGAGGAAGTTGTTTTGAGGGGCATTTAGTCAGAGAATAACTTTTTCTTAGGGGGCTGGCCTGGAAACTGTTTGACTCTTCTTTTTGGCCCTGGCTCTTGTCAGTCCCCTGATCTTTCTTCAAACTAGGGCTTGCATCAGTAGGCAGGGTTGTCATCTGCTGAAATGTGTTTGTGTTATCTTCTCCCAGAACATCTGTGCCCTGGGATATCTTTGGGTTCTCTTTCTGTTCACTGCTAACACTGCTTCCCAGGTCTGGCCTCTGGAGAAGAATTCCTGGATATTCTTTCAGGGTTGGGCTTGTTTTGTTCACCTGGGTAGCTGTTTCCTGGGCAGTTACTGAATCTTCCTTAGTGCTATGGCTGATGTTATCACTTAGGTCAACCACCTTCCTGGGATTCCCTGGATATTTCTTCTTGGTGTAGCTGGTTTCATTTCTCTGGGAAGTCATCCTCTGGAGCATTACTTGTTCTTCCTTTATGCTATGATCACTGTTGACCTCGAGTGCAGCGGTTACCTGCTCCTTCACTGGACTTTTCTTTTCAGTGACAACCTCCTTCTGGGATGTGACATGACTTTCCTTGTGGTTGTTGTTGCTGTCCCCATGGAGTGGTGTTTCTTGGGGTTTCTTTGAACCTTCTTCACAGTGGCTTACACTGTTTTCCAAATGTCTTTCATCCTTGATGTTCTCAGGATATTTGTTTTGCCTATGGAAAGTTTGCCCACAAGCAGAAGCTGTTGCTTCCTGTGACCCCATTGAAACCCACAAGCCAGGTGGGTAGATTGCTGCAGGAGCTATCTGAGGTACAACTGTAGCCATGGCTGCTGTTGTTGCTCTTGATTCCATCACTAATGGGCATGGCACAGGTGTTGAATATGGGAATGCCAAGGGAATTTGAGTATTGAGTGGTAGTGGATGTGGCACAGGCATTCGAAGAAAGGGTTGCACTGATTGTACCCAAGGACCTGGAAGTCCTGGCAAATAAGACAAGACCGGTGGGACAGGCATCTGGCCCTCCAAATTGGGCATGTTCTGGGTCTCTCTAGATCGCCACTCTTCCTGCTCTTCTTTTTCAAGGGACCACACTGATGCACTACCCTGTTGCATTTTAGGTTCACGCACATCAGGCAAGGCAGACCTCTGTGCTTGAAGCAGCCTCCCACGCAGTATTTCACGCTCATCCATTGCCTCATGTAGCGCTGTCTGTGTAGAAACAAGTTGAGCTGCTGCCTGGTCCCTCTCCTCTCGCAACCTCTGTAGTTCAGAGGCCAGAGTCCAGGAAGCTGTTTCACGCTCTCCCACTTGTTCCTGTAGCCTCCCAACTTTTCGTGCCTGCTGCTCACGTTGCCTAGCACCTACTCTCACACTCAAAGCCAAAGCACTCCAGGTATAAGCCCTCTTGAGGGAACGTGGCACTTTCGGATTAACAAGGATGTTATGAAGGTGGTCTTCAATCTCATTCCAAGACCGAGATCGAAAGGTCATATAGAATTCTGGACCCCCTCCATTCATAAGGACTTCATTGTTAATGAATCTGATTACTTCATTGTGGTGGAAGCCACTGCTATGGTCTCCAAATTCAACTGCCATGACTTTTGCAGCTTAGCCAATTAATACTCTCATGTACCTCCGCTATGGTTACCGACACAGTTGCCACACATGTGGCTTAATTACTGCCCCTTCCCCTCCAGATTCAGTCCTACTTCAGTCCATGTCGAATCCTTGTTTCCTCATTTACCTCCTTCCTCTTCACCTTACTTCTTCAAAAAACAGAGAAGCTTATCCTCTCACAAAGCTCTCTGTACTTAGTTGTGACTGCCTACTGCCGGGTAGTTAAGGAACATTCCACAGGATGCCTCACAAAGGGTAAACAACTAAGTCATGCCACAAGGCATGCTGGGAAATGTCATTCATCCTTAAACTACCTAAAAAAAGCGCCAGGAAGGTAGCTACTATGAGTAATGTAGTGAACGCAGAAAAGGACACATGAAAGGTCTTTATTCATAAGCTAGTGAATAAAATGAGGTCTTCAGTAACATACTTGTTGCTGATAAGCAAGATAGAATTTCTATACTGGGTAACAGATGAGGAGAGAGCTAGAGGAACTGGGCTACAGGCAAAGTTAGGTAACAATTTCATGCCTTCTTGTATCATGACAATATAATATGGGCTTTCCCTTTTCTTTTTTTTAAATGTGTTTTGTCTTCGTTTTTTAAACCAAAATTGGTATAGGAGAGGAGGTACAGGGATACACTGTCAGAGATATGAAACAGAGAACTGGGCTTGCAAAGGTGGCATCAAGACTAGAAAATGTGGGAGTAGAGGGAACCAGATTATTATGTACCTTTACATAAGAAGAATTGAGAAGTAAGCAGTTTGGGGACATTACAAATCCCAAAAAGGGTTCAAGATTTTTAAAGGGACTGCTAATGAACACCATTTCCCTTACTGAGTAGGTAAGGAAGAGAAAGCAAGGAGGAGGTAGTCTAGGAAGACTAAAGACAGAAAGTCACTATCAAGGTGCATGTCCCTATTCCATGAAAGGAAAGAGGAAATTTCAGAGCTTCTCCTCTCAAAATTAGAATTCTCTGACGCAACATTCATATCTAAAGTGAAGAACATTGGAAGTCTGAAGTTTCTGGAACCTTCTGTGGGCAATTGCAAACTAAGGATAAGAGCTTTTCTATTTTCGAGTGGAAGAATGGAGTCATTCTTTGGTCAACTCTTGTGTAGTTCATACATCAGTTCCTCTCATGAAAAATAAAAGAATATTCTGTTTTCCAATTTAGTACTAATTTCTCCATCTGTGATTTTAATACCTGGCATTCTCATTTCTCGAACTCAAATTATACATTATATCTCTACTGATTATATCTTTTTCAATCTCTTTCATTCTACCGTCTTCTTTCCCAATATAATTTGAGTGTACTTGTTTATCACATACTATATAATATTCTAGGCTTCATTTTTCTGTTCCTTAATTTCCTACTGTATAACCACAGAAAATATCAAAAAGGTAGTATCAGTGTCTTTCCCTGTACAATAATCAAAGTTTCCCAATATTCAGTTCTTTCGATGTTACCTTTCTGAAGCATTGATAGAGAAAGAAAAAAGACTAAAAATGAGCTGCCAGAAAGAATGACAATCAATAGATCCTACTACTCCCTTTTTAAAATCAATGTTTACCACATTTTTCTAAACCACAAACTCTATTAATTAAAATAAAGGTCATTTGAGTCAATGACTTGATAACTGGACTACTACTAAATAACTGTTAATCAGGTAATATATACTGTGTTTATATTTTAGACAAAGGGATGATTAATGTCCCCAGTATAATGACAAAGAATGGTGTGGGATGTCATCACATTGTTCAGAAGAAAGTATAAATTTAATTTTGAATTTGCAATTTTCCACTTAATATTTACAGATGTTAAGCTGAAGGAAGGGAAACTATAAAGAGAAAGAGAATACTGTGAAAGTAATTATCATTTTCATATCACCTACCTTGCAACTACTAAAGAAGGCTCTTTTGAAAAACTGGGGCTTAAGCTGTTATTTAAACAATGTATAAGACTTACATGAAGATATTGAGGAAGAAAGCAACTCAAAAGTTGGCAAGTTGATATTTCTGTGTTATTTATCAATTGACTGTTTGGCAAAGATCTGAAATTGGTCATACTGTTCTGTCATATCCAGTTAAAACACGGTAATCCATTTGTAGGAAAATCTTTCTTGAGTTTTCATACTACTACATTTTTAAAACCTTGCATCTGGTTTCCCACCTACCTGCCATGTATATTTCAGCTATTTGTATGGATGCTCTTTGCTAGAGATACACCTCTGATACCACCAGCAAGGCACCATGTGTGTACCATCATTTCTGTTATTTCCAGGGTCTATGTGTCTTCTGGGTCCTGAAAGCATCATCTTCTACTGATCAGAAAAAAATTGTATTCTATATATGAAAGTAGAAACAAGAGTGTGCTTTATAAGTGGAATTAGTCAGAAACATGGGATATTCAGAAATATGAAGACCAATATTAAAGGAAATATAAATGAATATTAATATTATATAAATTTTTGTTCATTTGTCATGAAAATATAAAAATAAAATGGAAATACTTAATATGACCTTCAAATATCACTAACATAATATATCTACCTGTGAAAATAAATTTATATAAATGTTCCGTGGGCAGCAGAGGAGAGGGTGGCTGAATTGGCCTTGTCCTATAGCCACGGTGATAAATAGAACCTTCATCTGACAATGGATGGAGATAAAGACAGAGACCCACATTGGAGAACTGGACTGAGCTCCCAAGGTCCAAATGAGGAGCAGAAGGAGGCAGAACATGAGCAAGGAGGTCAGGACTATGAGGGGTGCATCCACCCACTGAGACAGTGGGACTGATATAATGGGAGCTCACCAAGGCCAGCTGGACTGGGACTGATGGAGCATGTGATCAAACTGGACACTCTGAATGTGGATGGCAATGAAAGCAGACTGAGAAGCCAATGACAATGGCACTGGGTTTTGATTCTACTGCATGGACTGAATTTGTGGGAGCCTGGTTTGTTTGGATGCTCACCTTCATAGACCTGGATGGAGCGGGGAGGACCTTGGACTTCCCACGGGGCAGGGAACCTTGACTCCTCTTAGGACTGGAGAGAGAGGAGGAGGAAGGGAGGGGGCGGGAAAAGGGAAGTGGGCAGGAGGTGAAAATTTGTAATAAATAAAAAAATTAATAATTAAAAAAAAAACACAAAACAAAAATTGGCAGTTGTAGGAGGAGTAGTTTACAACTATATTATGAAGAGATATGAAAAATTGTGGAAATTATAAATAGTAGCAACTATAGGTTGTCAAAAATGTTATTACATGAAATACTTCTGTAGGTGGAGGCTGTTCATTCATTCCTGACTGCTATGACCCAAAATAATTATACAAAACTGTATTAATTAAATCACTGCTTGTCCAGTCACTTAGGTGTATTGCTAGCTAGTTCTAGTTCTTATATCTTAAATTAAGCCATTTTTATTAACCTGTGTATCACCACGTGGCTATGACTTACTGGGAAAAATTTTGTCTGGCATCTATCTCCAGTGGGGCTATGTGGCTTCTCACTGACTCTGCCTACTCTCTTTCTATATATATATCTTTTCCAGCCAGGCTATACTCTGTTAAGTCATTGGCTGAAAGCAGTTACTTTATTAACAAATGAGGAATCCCATATCACCTCCCCTTTTCTGTCTGAATAGCAAAAGAAGGTTTTAACTTATCATAATAAAATTACATACAACAAAGCAGGTATCAAGCAAGAATTACAGTTACAATATTTATATCTACTTTATCTTTTATTATAACTAAGGAAAACTGTAACTATATCTATTCTTCAACTTCATCAAAGACTGCAGAAGGATATAATATTACCTAAGTTAACAGGAAGTGGATTGTAAGCAACTTCCAAAACTCTAAAATTTACAGAGATATCTCACTGCCTGGACAGTCACCCAAAGTTCTTATGTAATATTGGGGCATCCAATATTCAGCCACAATGCCTATAGTATCTGGCAGACTTTTCCATGAAGCAGGAAATCCAAAGATCTGCTCTGCCTTGTAATGGCAAAGTCCATCATTTTCTTTCTCCTGTGATCTGAAGAATGTCTGGCAGGCTCTTTTATGAAGCAGGAACCCTGAAAAACTGTTTCACCTTTATGCAAGTTCACTTGTCATTTTTCTATGGGTCCTGCATGTCCACTCTATACAGCATAACATTAAGCAGTCCAGGCAATTGCATTTTCTTTGAATGACTAGCAAACTTCATATGGAGCATCTTCAATGCCCATCATCTTCTTGAAGTAGATTGGTGCTCCCAGGAGATGTGTCTCATTGTTATGAAAAGTCCTAAGTTCTTGAACGTTTTAAATGCCATATTCCATAGGTCTTTGAAAGGTTGAAGAATAACTATCCTTCTAAAATATGTCTCTGTATATCTAGAAAACTTAACTAACATGACTCCAAGCATGACTATTATAGATTACTGTCCATTAATCTATTTTTAAATTATACATTACAGTTTTAAATGAGCTTCACAAATACAAAACCTTAATTAAGAGCAGCAATTTGCATATATGTATATATACAACAAAATTGATCTTAAATTTTATCAATGAACAAAATCCATACCAATGCAAAGTATCCATCTCTATAGCATATCTCTCTTTAAGTGTAAAGAAACATTTATGAACAATCATTTAGAGAATTTGGGTGTAGTTCCTTCGAAACTACTTCCTGCTTTTTGTTGGGTGAGGTAATTTGCAGGGGATTTCAAAGAGACCTTATAGGGGTTCTTGGTCCATCAAACCACATTAGCCTGAAAGTAATCCACAGGTTCTCATCCTCTGTGGAAACAAAAGAAGAACCTCTTTTCCAAAGCAAGTAATCCTTAGACTCACATTTTTAAGTCAAGATACCTTTAAAAATATATGTTGATTTAGCTTAGCAGCCCATACAATGAAATGTCTCTGTGTACTTAGTTCCTTCACAGTCAAAAAAAATTTTTAAAACCCAATAACATACATAATTTAAGCTGTGTATATTACATCTTTATGTGACATATATTTATTATTCTTTTTCTTTTTCTATAAGTTTACGTTGTGTTTTTAAAGCCTTTGTTTATTTTTTAAAACCCATTTTCTTCTCTTTATAACTCTTTATACTCTTTTGCCCCTCTCTTTCAAGCCTACACACTGTAACTCACTTAGAGATCTTTTTCATCTGAATTTGTCTTTATTATGTATCTGTAATCCTTTTCTTA